GCACGAAACCTTCCAAGCCTTCGTCACCCACGCCTCAATCCCCTCAATACATCCCACTTCTCGATCAAAACGGCCAACCAAACAAGATTTTAGGATAGTTTCTCGTTCTGATATGCTTTGATGATCAACCCTAAAACCATGTCTTTGCCGATTGTACAACTTTGATCTCGCCATGGAGATTGAGGCGTGGAAGTGTCACTACATTAAGATACGACTGTAGCATAACACGAATCCCTGCCAAAGAAACCAAAAATGCAAAAACAGAACAAGAAAAAGAATCAACAGACGCCGGAGTAGGAGACTCCGGCGACAGAAAGGGTAGAGAGAATAGAGAGAAAAGTCAACATATGGTCAAACTAAGTACACATCTATTACCTCATTTCTTTATGAATGCTATATTATTACAACTCCAAACACTTGTTAACCAATTTAAAGTTTAAAGATAGTAGAAGCCACATTTATGATGGACTTCTTTTAAATTATTTATCAAGAAGTCGAACATAATAGTCAAATTTGAAGTATGTAGAACTTCTTTGTCTCATTGAGGCAGAAGTGAAACCACCCTTTACTTTAACCATGTATAACAGATTATCTTTTTGGATTAAAAGTGTGATAGAAGACTACAAAATTAAACCTTATATTCCACAAGTTTGGAATCTCACTGTTTGGATTTCTAGTTGATCTTCACACAGTTTCAACATTACATTATTTGTTCTTATCATTGTTTTGTATGAAATTACAGGTGGAGACCTTCAATGTCATAAAATTTTAGTTATTCTCTAATGGATCCCTAAAAGATCAAATTATTCTTTTCGATTGTTCAATCAAGCTATCATCATTATATGCTAAGACAATTAGTTTGTATTTGATCTTAGAATTTGAACCGTTGTAAGAATCTTAAGTGAAAGTAGCATTTTTAGTCATTTCTAAAGTGGATTCTTGGGCTATTCACGATTTGATAAACCTTAAAAAAGAAGGGATAATTACACTAACCTCCCTGAGGTTTCGTCAACCTACATTGACCTCCCCTCTTGTTTTTCATATTACACTCACCTCAACAAGTATATAAGATGGGCGACATTAATGGAAAGAGTACAATTACTAATTTACCCTTTGTCCACTCTCTCTCTTTACAATAACATCACGGTGCTCCGAATACCATCTCCGGCGAACCCAGTTCAGTTTGGTGAAAGCCACAGTGGCGACCGCTCTAAGACTTCATATATATATATCATAGTTGTTAAAGGCGCCGAAGGCGCGCGCCTGAGGCGCCAGGCGCCTCCAGGCTCCACCTTGGCGCCTTGAAAGGCTTAGGGCGAGGGCCTTGTAATAGGCGTGCGCTTTTGGGGCTTAGGCGCAGGGCTACAGGCCCGGCACAGGCGCGCTTGTTTGAAAAGTTTTTTTTTTTGATTTTTTTTTTATTATTTTGGTTGTAAATCTTGTGAATTGTGACAGAGCCACGTGATATATTCAGAATCTCAGATATGTTACTGTCACTTTAAGCTTTTATCAGTTGTCAAAAAAAAAAAATAAAAAGCCGGAAGCAAAAAGCAAAAGGAAAAGGGAAGAAGAGAGTAAGAGACAGAGAAGAGAGAGAGAAGTACAAGCCGGAAGCTCGTCGGATGATCGGATCTGCTGTCTGCGAAGCCCGGATCTGCAAAGCACCTGTAAGTTCTTCTCCTTGCTTCTTCTTCTCTCCTTCTTGCTTCTTCTTCTCCTCTGTTTTTTTTTTTTCTTTTTTTTTTTTTTTTTTTTTTCTTCTTCTTCTTTTCTTCAGTTCTCTTCTCTCGTCTCTTCTCTCGGCTCTCCTGGACTCTAGAAGTCTAGAGTCTTGCTTTTTATTTTTTATTTTTTTATTTTCTTTGAGCCGAGTCTCGGCTCTTTTTTCTTTTTTTTTTTTTCTTCTCGGCTCTTTTTATTTTTATTTTTTTCCTTTCCTTTTCTTTTTTTTATTTTTTATTTTTTATTTATTTATTTTTTTTTTCTTCTTCTTTTGCCCTCTATTCTTCTTCTCTCGGCTCTCACCCTCTCTTTGATTTTTTTTTTTCTTATTTTTTTTTTAAAATTTTTTTTTCTATTCTTCTTCTTCTCGGCTCTCTCTGACCTTTTTTTTTTAATTTTTTTTTTCTTTCTATTCTTCTTCTCGGCTCTCTCTGCTTCTAGCCTTCTGCTCTTCAACCTCTTCTTTTATTTTTGTTTTTTATTTTTTTATAATCTGAGTTGCTGGAATAAATTGTAGTTTACAACTTTACAATTTTGTGCTGGAATAAATTGTAGTTTACAACTTTACAATTCTTAGCTGCTAGAATAAATTGTAGTTCACAACTTTACAATTCTGAGCTGGAATAAATTGTAATTTACAACTTTACAATTCTGTGCTGCTGGAATAAATTGTAGTATACATATCAGTTGGTATATGCCTATATGGTATCATGCAGTCCATATATGCATATATATTACATCTCATATAGTTGATAAATCTCATATAGAATTTATTATGCAGTGTCCATATATGCCTTTGATTCTTTGAAGCTCTGTAATTTTTTTTTTTTTGTCAGAGTTGTTGTAGACACTGATTACATGATGCTAATTCATTTAGTTGACTTTTATATCTTTGTATATACTATTGCATCTTTAATACTTTATTGGGTGAGTTTTGTTTTGTTTTTTTTTCCAACGTGCGCCTTGCTTCAGTCGGGCGCGTGCCTCGCCTTGCGCCTCAGGCTCCAGGAGGCATTTGCGCTTTTGTGCGCCTTGAGCCTTTAACAATTATGATATATATATATATATAAATCCACATATATACTGAGATATATGTATCCCACGGGCTCTTTTCTCTTCAAGCTCTCTCTTGATTGGGTCTCTTAATGAACAGTCTCTCTCGTATATAAATCACTAACCCATCATATATACATGTGTATAGCTCTGTATTTGTATTGTTGAAGTATTGTTCAATCAAAGCTCACTGAAATCAATGGAATTCCAATTCTATTGGGTGTTTACCGGAATCAATGGAAGCTGGTGCCGGCGAACACCATGTCCACCCTGTATATATATATATATATATACACACCCCGCATAACCATCCACCCACTGTCATCTTCAACCCAAACCGCGCCGGCAGCCAAACTTGACCCAAACCACATGAATGATTCTAACCTGATTCTTGATCTTTAATTTCTCAAAAAAAAAAAAAAAAAAACCAGAAGTTGTATCTGTTCGTAGAGAGAGAAAATAGCTTTCTCTTCCGTCACGGAAATGTGTCTGCTCGTTGCATGAAGCGTTGCCGGAGAGGAGTGCACCCACGGAGCTCGCCGTCACAATGGAGCTTTGCCATTCGTCGTCGTGAGCTTCGCCATTCGTCGATTCTATATTCCTCGCCAGTGAGTTCTCCATGTCGCAGTTTGTCCTCACCGGTAAGATCCTTTACTGCTGTTCATCATTACTCGCCCCTGTTCTTGTTTGCTAAATTCAGTGCTTGCATCGCTGCCAGATCCTTACACTATGTTGCTCACTACCATCGCCAGAATTGCGACTATTATAGTTGTAGCTTGCTCGGCGAAACCCAGTTCTAGCGAGACTCCTACATCATCTTAACTTCGGCTAACCTTCAAGACCCATCTCGACGAAGCTTCCTGGCACCATCACGGACTGCCCATTGCGAGTTTTACCTTCCCAGCAACCATTGTTGCCCTTATCAAAAGCTAAGCGCTCTCTCTCTCTCTAGGTGTGTATCTATAATTCTTTGTCTAAAATTTTTTTGGTTCCGATGTGGTTCAGTCCGAACTGGGTTTTGCTTTCACCGGAACCAAGGAAGGTCTCAAGAGACAACGATTTTGTTGTCACCGGAGTTGCAGTTTGTTCGCCGGAACTGGGTTTCACACCGAGGAGTGTTCTTGCTGATTTGGTCGCTGATTGGTTCATTTAAGCTTACGCTGTTGCGTGGATGATATGTCTCGGAGGCTCACCGGAATGGTGAGCCCAAACTGAAGCTTGTCTGTTTCGTTGAATATGGTGGTCACCCAAACTGAAGCTCACAAGGGTAGAATGGGAATTTGATAAATAAAAAATTGCTGATATCATCATTTTTCGTCAAAAACATTGTTTTCTGTTAACAGAGGGAGGTCTATGTTATCTATGTACAAACCTCGAGGGAGGTGAGTGTAATATGGCAAACAAGAGGGGAGGTCAGTGTAGGTTGACAAAACCTCAGGGAGGCCAGTGTAATTATCCCCAAAAGAATAGCATTTTTGATGTTTCTTGAATATACTTGTCTTACTAAGAGGAAAGTTAGACTTACATGTCCCCTTCCGTCTGGTTCATTATAGGATGTTATTTAGGGCCTATTTGGTAACCAAAACATTTTGCGTTTTTGTTTTAACTTGAAATAGAAACGTTTTTGTTGTAGTGTGTTTTGAATAGTAATTGGAAGCATGTTTGGTAATGTCTATTTGTTGCAAGATATTTGGAAGCAAAAACATGAAAACAAGTTTTGGTAAAAAAGTGTTGGAAGTTTGAAAAATATAATGGCTAGTTTAAAAAGGTGATTTTAGGGTTTTTCAACTTTTTTGGGGTACTGTTCATTGCCTCGGTATCCGTTGTTACAGTGCAGAAACATGTAAAAACACCAAATTGGTGTTTTGACTTTTTGCCACTATTCCTGTAGCGTTTCGGTAGTGTACAAAGCAAAACATTTTTTATCAAACATGTTTTTTTTTCCAAAAACACTGGTAGAGTACTCGACCAAAAACAAAAACACCAAAAACAAAACGCCAACCAAACAGCCCTTAGTTTCCCTCAGGACCTCTTTTTATGTGCTACAGAATGCTGTACCTTTTTCTGGGTTATAAGGTCATGGAAGTCCATAGATTGCATGGCCAAATTTTTTTGATTTGTGATAATATATGTTGATTATGTCTCTTCCTGGGTCTGCATTTATTTGGCATAATTTCAGAATAGGATGTTTCATGCATTAACTTCTCTCACTTCCTATGTTGCAGATTCGATATACTTTCATAAAAGGTGACCTGAAACTTCAGATGCCGCCCTCATATTCTCTTGTCATCCAGGTATCTTTATTTATTTTTATTTATAAATTTTGCCATCAAAGTCCTCATATTCTCGATATTTCCAGTTCCTTTTTGTTTGTTTGTGATTGGAAGGTTATTAGTGCTTGTTGTGGGCAAATTCTGTAACAAAAGCTGAAGTCATTGTAATTTGTGTTATATTTTCAAAAGTTAGTTTGGGTTATTTTATACTTTCGACCCACAAACTATGAGGAGAAGCAATTGAAGAACAAAAGGGTAAAAAGGTAAATGACCTATGTATGATTTTAAAAGGCTCAAAATTATGTTTTGATCATGTTTATCAAAATTGATGTTCTTGATAAAATGATTTTCAAAATTGAGGATTTTTATAAAACAGTGAGCATCAATCGAATGGTAGATCGGTCAAGATTTTGCAGGATTTTTTTTAACAAAAAAATCTAGTAGGCTTCAGTAGGAGGCTTGATACAATCATCTAGTAGGTGTCAATGGAAGGCTCAATTGATCGAGAGCCGTGGAATAATATTTTTGGAAACCCTCAAATTAGAATTTTAATAGGATTCTACTTACCATACTACTAACCTTCTAATCCGCAACCCACCTAGCGGCAACGGCCTACACAACTTCTCCCAGCGGACAAGATGGTACTTGAACTCCTCTCCCAAGCCACCCCACAAGAAGTTCCACTCAAGACTCTCAATCCTATTTGCCACCGCAGAAGGAATCTGAAAAAGAGAGGAAATAGGTTGGGAGACTTGACAACATGCTCTTCATCAGTGATTTTCCCACCCTTCGAAATGTAACAACCCACTCCACACTACATGTTATGATATTTTCCCCTTTGGGCCCAAGCCCACACAGTTTTATGTTACATACTAATGCTACATATTAAATAGTAATAATATTTTTTTAATGTATAATATATTATATTGTAGTGTAAATTATTTTTTATTTAATAAAAAATGTATTTTAATATAAATTATGTTATATAATAGTGTAAATTACTTTTGAGACAAAATATTTATGATTTATAATATATATTTTAATTTATTTTACATATTTCTAAGAATATATTAGTTAATGATCTTTTAAATTAAAATTAGTTAATGATCATTAAAAGGCCTAGTTGATGATAATTTAAATATAAGAATTAATGTTGATAAATTGACATTTTATCTATTGGGCCATGATTAAAAAAATAAATAAAAATATTGGGCTATTTTGGAAAACCCCAATATGTGGATCCGATCCGATCCGTTATCCCATAGATTGGTGGCGGATTCAGATTTTGCCAATCCATTGGGACCGGATCAGATTAGGATTGGTACCTAATCCGATTTGAGGTCACCCTTATATATACCATTTCTATATTATATTATATGTAAAAAATTGTGAAAAAATTGAATTGCATTGCATACGTCGTCCATATTTCAAGGATTTTTGGTACTAATGAAAAATTAAAAATAAAATAAATTTTTATAAAAATAGTGTATATCTTATCAAAAAAATAGTGTATATCTTGTACCAAATATGTATTACTAAACATTGTTGTTGTTTTTTGCTTTCACAATTGTTGTATCAGCAAGTGTTAATCAACTCCATTTTTGCCTATGAGGCACAGACACCCCTCCCGGAGGTCCTGTACAAGTGTCGGACACGTGTCCGAGACACTCGTGTTCGAGACACTTCTGTGAAGTGTTTAGAAATTATTTTTTAATTGGATATGCGGAGGACACGTACTAAACATGGCGGGATATATTTTGTAATTTTTTTTAAAGAAAAAAGGGGTACCTAATGTAATTTTAAATGTTTAAAAGTAAAATTTTGAAAAATTTAAAAAAACAACTATACAGACAATGAACTGATGAATGAAGAATGTTAAACATGTTGGAAATATACTTGATCTTATTTGTCTAATTTTGTTGGTAACTTTGCTAGGTTCTTAATTGCTTAGATGATGAATTGAAGTATTTCTTTTATTGCAATATTTTTTTAGAGAGATTAGATTTGTGGTATTTTGGATTTTGAATCTATATATATATATATATATATATATATATATATATATATTATTTTATTGGCATATTCCAGTCGTGTCTGTGCCCTATTTTTTTAAAATTTGCCGTGTCGCCGTATCCGTGTCGTGTCGTACCCGTGTTCTATGTTCGTGTCCGTGCTTCATAGATTTTTGCTTTCTACTTTCACTCAAAAAAACAAAATCATGTTTCTGCTTCGTTGAGACTGCAAAAATAGAACGAAAACATTACTAAACGCGCCCCTAGTTTTATTGCTACGATCTATTTAGATATATATCCAAAGCACGATATCATCGGCAAACATCATGCACCATGGAGTCATGTTTTGAAAATCTTTTGTAATTTCATTTAAGATTATCACAAATAGATATGGACTTAGCATCAATCCTTGGTGCAATCCTACGTTTATGAAAAACTCACTAGTGTCACCACTCATTGTACGAACTTTAGTTTTTTTATTCATATACATATCTTGAATAGTTTTTATGATATGCAAAGGAATTCGATTCTTTGTAGGGCCCCCATATTATATCTTTTGGGATCCTATTACATGGTTTGTCTAAATCTATAAAAACTATATCTAGGTCTTGTTGCTTACCCCTGCATATAGCTTCCATTGTTGATCTCCCCTGCATGAATCCGAATTGGTTACTAAATACCGTGGATTCCTTCTTTAGTATTTGTTTTATTATTTTTCCCCATACTTTTATTTTATGTTTCATTAATTTAAGGGTAAAATGCAAAGAACCCCCTTGAACCATGGGGAAAACTGCAACTAACCCCCTGAATTACCAAAAATGCAAGAAACCTCTTGAACTATGCAAAAAAGTTGCAGATCACCCCCTCCGTATGCCGGCCGTCCAAAAATGAGCGCGTGAGATTCACGCGACAGATAAACTAAATTTTTTGGACAATAATGCCCTTCCATATATGAAAATACCAAATTATCCTATAACCACCAACCACCAACACCGTCTGTGCTCACCACCACAACCGTCTGCAACCACCATCACCACCACTGTCAAACCCAATCGAACAAGTACAATTGCCACCACCCCAATCACCCAGAGATACACAGACATATATATATGCACGTATATATACATATATATATTATACACACCACCACCAACACCAGCGAGTATGTCGGCCCAAGAGCGTCTCTCTTCAATCTCCAATCGCCGAAATCAACGTCTCTCTTCAATCTCCAATATGATTTTCTTGTTCAATCACCAAAAGAGTTCAAAATTAGAAACAATATATATATATATAACACATATATAAACAGTAATGATGATTTGGGTTTCGAGATGTGATCAATCTAGAAGTCCACCGCCAAAGCCCGAATCTTCCTCTCAACATTCTCGGCGACGATTTGGGTTTCACAGATTTCTCTATGCAACTCCAATTCCCAATCTCCCTCTCAATATTCTCTCACTATATATGTGTATGTATATTTGGCTTCCCCAAATCAAGCGCCGCAGTGGTAAAATTACCTTTCCTGATTTCTCTAATTGAGTCCAATTAGAGTAAATTTATAACCTACCCGCACACCAAACACCACGTCTCTTCTCTTTGTTGTTTCTCACACTCTCACTGTCTATCTATATATACACATATATATATCGTATCTCCTCAGTCCTCACTGAACTTGTCTCTCACTATTTGTATATACACACACACACATCCATCTCTGCAACTTATTCGACCAAAAAAATTTAAGTTTCACAGATCTCTCTATGCAACTCCAATTCCCAATTTGCCTCTCAACATTCTCTCACTATATATGTGTATATATATTTGGCTTTCCCAAATCAAGCGCCGCAGTCTATGGTGAGTCGAAAACAGGTGAGTGTAGCCGATCTGCGTCGTTGATGGTGGCGTCGTTCAATAATTGGAGTCAAAGCTAGGGTTTAACCTCACCCAAAAGTTCGACTTCATCTGTAACCATATCCATCTCCTCTTCTGACCTCAAACCCCCCGCCGCCGCCACAACAGCACTACCACCTCCACACACGATTTTGCACCTTAAGAATGGATTTTAGATCTATTCCTTGTATCTTTAGGCTTGACTCTGACCTTATTACTTTGAGCGATAGTAAGTTCTTAACTGTTAATTTGATCATCAGCATTGGTGTAGGAGATGGAGACCGGTGTAAAACAGAACAGAGAGAACCTTATCTCTTAGGCTGAAAAAAGAAAAAAAAAAAAAAATCGTATCTCTTGGGTGAGTTGTCATAAGGGCAAATTAGACTTTTTATTTTTCCGGTTATGTCAGTCGCCGGAATGGACTGAAATGCAACAAATTCATAGTTCAGGGTTTTTTTTTGTAATTCAGGGAGTTAGTTGCAATTTAGCCATAGTTTAGGGGTTTTTTTTTGCATTTTACCCTTAATTTAATTCCTTTATAGTTCCCACAATTTTGTATATCCCTTTTATTTTTTGTAAATCGGTACTATTGTACTTTTTCTGTACTCATTTGGCATCATGCCTTGTTTTAGGACGTTGTTAAATCACTTTGGTAGCCATTTAATTCCTACGTTTCTTAATGTTCTCCAAACCTTTATGGGTAAATTATCTGGGCTTTCCGCTTTATTATCCCCCATCTTCTTAAGTGTGTCCTCTACCACCTTGTTAGTGATTTGATTTATCATTCCTATGTTAGGTTCATTTCCTTGTACTTCTTCTCCCTCATTTAATATATTTTGAAAATAATTCCTCCATCTAGTTAATGAATCACTTTCTTTGACTAATATCGTGTTATCTATGTACTTAATACATCTAATTTGATTTAGGACTTTAGTTTATCTATCTCGATTCTTTGTTAATTTATAAATATTTTTCTCACCCTCTTTTGTGCCTAGTTTTTTTTAATAGAAGACATTTAGTGAGATTTGTTTAGCTTTACTTACTATCTTCTTTGTTTCACATTTGAGTTTATTATTCTCTTTATTTATCAAAAAAAGAAAAAAAAGAAAAAAAGCATTTGAGTTTATTATATGTGCCCAATACATTATTTATTAAAATATATAATATGTTATTTTAAAAATAGAAAATTATTTGAAAACTCTATGTATTATAATAAATAATTTAAAAAATGAATAGAAACTCTACATACATTTATATAGTCGTATATATATATGGAATCCATATATGACATTCATTTTTTCTAGGTGTTGCCTCGTCCCAAGCGTCAGTTGGCACGTCTGACTGCTATTTTTTCTGTTATTTATCTTGCTGTATTTTGGACCGTCATATTAGTGTTGGTCGTGATTGGAAAAATGGATTAGTGTTAGAGGGGTCTTGTCCCACATCGGATCAGGATGGGTAAGAGATTGGGTGTATATAGGCAGGTAAGCAGCACTATAATTTTTTTGGTCAGAAGGCAAGCATCTGACCATAATAATTGGTATTAGGAGCCAGACCTAGTCTTGATCCGGTGTCACGCCAAGCACCCACTTGGGTGTGCCGAGAGGTGCCTCGGGTCCAGGCCAGGTAGGCAGGTGGTCGGACCGTATTGAGGGCATTGCGAGTTCGGGTGGAGAAGAATGTTAGTTTTTTGTCTAACATCAAATTCGGATGGGAAAGAGATTGGGTATTATATGGGCATGTATGCAAAATGCTACCCAATAACTTAAGCTTTTGGGTTAGAAGGCAAGTGTCCGACTTGCAACAACTAAATTAAATAAAAAAGCTGTGAGAACTGCAAAAGCCGTTCGTTTTAGAATATATATATATAGCCCAAGCCCTACCCACTCTCTCTATGTCCTCTTTTCTCTTTCTCCCGTTCTTCTCTAAACTCTCGTCTCTCTCTCTCCCCAATGCTCACCCCTCTGTCAGCGTCTCTCCCTCCTTTCCTTTTTTGTGTGTGTGATCTGTTTTCTGTAATGCTGTCCGTTTCTATCTCCCTCTTTCTTTCCTCCTCCTCCTCCTTTGGGTGCTCTCTTTCTCTATGATGCTTCTCTTTTCTCTGTTTCCTTTTTATTTTTATAGCTCTGATATCTATAATGCTGGCTGTTTTTGGGTACTCTCTTCTTTGCTCTCTCTCTTTTCTCTAGAATGCTGTCCCCCCTCCCCCCTCTTCCCTTCCCTTCTCTGTCCTCTTATAATTCTGTTTTTTCTTTTTATTGCTCTATTTTCACTTAATGCAGTTTTTTTTTTTTTTATTTTTTTTTTTTCATGCACTATTAGTTTTTTGAATTGGATGTTATTACATCGGCAATAATCCAGCAAAGGGGGGATGCTTCCGGGCAATTAGGAAGCGAAGGGAGTCAAAATCTTGAAAGGCACACCCACACATTAGTAGAGTGAGGTCTGCGGCATCCAAACTGTCCGCTCTTTGGCTTCTTAATTGTTCGTTTGGAAATTTCCCGAAAAGACTCCACCGCACCGATCAAGGAGGTGCTTTGGGGGCTGTTTTTACACTGTGAAGTCGTTTTTTGCTACTAGTGAATTGAGAGAGATATTGAGAAAGATCAAGAATTGTCACTATTTCTTAGATCAGAGCCTATGATTGGTCCTGAAGATTAGTAGAAGAAAATTGGTGCGAAGTTTGTCAAAGCAGAAGATGATCGTGAGGTGCTATAAAGATTCAATTAGAGTTGATGATGACACGAAGGCATGAAGAAGGTGATGGTGTGAAGCCCATGAGAAACAAGTCTTGGGACAAGTCAGATGATGCTCGTTTTCAAGATGGGGCAAAGGTGATAGAGTTGAAGCCCACGAGGAACAAGTTTTGGGGACAAGCCAAGAGTGAATACTAGTTCTCAAGATGGGGCAAGGTGTGTGAAGAATGAATGAGTTTGCTCAAGGCCGATAAAGAGTAAAGGGGAATCTAAAGAGTAAAGATGATAGGTTTGTTGCTTTGATCCAGAAAAAGCAATTGATGAAGATGAGTTGAATATTGGTGGGTTGTCATGCGTGAGCAATTGAACACCAATGGGATGGATAGAGAAGATAGAAGAAAAATGAAGAATGATGAATTCTAAGAAAATGAGGAGATTGTTAGAGTGTTTATCAAGTTCATCATAGTACTTTATTTGAGGTGGACAAATCTTTAGTTGAGGTGGAGCTATGAAGAGCTTAAGGTGGAGGTATGAAGAGATCTTTGTTCGAGGTAGAGCTATGGAGAAGCATGTGAAGATAGAATTTTGAGCCAAGGTGGAGATTGTTGGGTTTGTGGTTCAAAATTTGTGTGCAGAAAATTAGTTTCCTTTTTCGTTTTGGAAGGCGAAATTTGTAAAAGAAATTATATCCCATTATATTTCTATTTTAGATTTTTGATCATTATGGCAACTCTTTGTAGGCAAGTTGAGGAATACTTGTTCAACAAGGAATTGAGTTTGAAGACTTTATAAATAGAGATGGGTGTGAGGGGTTTAGAGAGAGAGAGAGGGGAGAAAAGATGTAAAAGGTTTAAGGGTTAGTGCATGTCGTGAGGATAGAAGTGAATATATGTAATTTCCGAGTGTATACGTACATGTAGCCTCATAAGAGATGATGAGTGAATGAGTGGGGTTTTGACATATGGTTGTATATTCTTTTTCTTGATTCATAATAGTGAAATTTCTTTCTCGCATGAATGTAACACTAGAGTTAGATGAACTGTGTAAACTATTGTGTTATGCGTACAACAGTCGACCGTTGAGTTCAATTCCACAAATTATTTGATATGCTGGAGGTTACCACTATCAATAATTATCTAAATGGTTCGAATGAATAGAAACAAAGAATCATCAGGATTTGTTTTTAACATTCTTGAATGCTTAGATGATATGGTTTATGGATTTATTTTTGCATATTTGATGTTATATTTAGAATATTGACTCGGCGCTATGAATTTATTTGTAGTAATTTTATTTTTCAATTGTGTGCCTCGCCTCGCGCCTAGGCTCCAAGAGACCTTTAGCACCTTAGGTGCATTGGGAGTTTAATAACACTGGACATAGATATAGATATGTTTAAGTGAATTGGTTGGTTGGAGGAGTTTGTTTAACACTACTTTATTTAACACAACTTTTTATCTCTTTAAATAATATCATATAAAAAAAATGTAGATATGTTTAAGAGAATTGGTTGTGTTTAACACTACTTTTTGTCCTTTATATTTATCTTTGGATTAAATTAAATAATATCTAATTTTAAAATTATAGAAGTGTTTGGAAACTCTACATACATTTAATTGTAGTGTGTATATATATATGTATATATATCGAACATCCGTCTATTTAAATTTCTCATTGATGAAGTTGGGAGTTGAAAATCTGTTGCTATGTTCAAAACATCCGAGAGTTTTGTCATGTCCAGCTTAACTTGAAGTACTACTCTCTGTTTCAGGAATCAGAGAAGGGTACGTGGCATGTCCCCCTAGCAGGTGAATGCAGTGATGAATCACCAAGAAGGTGGCTCTGCATCACCAGGCCAAGTTCTCGTGGAGCTTCTGGTGAAGCGTCTGGAAATGTAAAAGCTTCTGAAACTGGCCAGCTAACCTGCAATCATAGAATATTGAACTCATGCAAGTCAGAGAGTACTAAAAGTGATCAGGGTGTCAACGGCAGTTCAGATTCTTTCGAGAGTCATGTTAACACTATGACAGTCGTGGCAAGAAAAAGGAAAGATAGGTCTCCATCTCCCTCCAGTCCCGATCCTTAGCCTTGCTAATGGTATTTCAGGAATTGTTTGCTTCATGCATGGATGGCATTGTGGCCAGTATTTATATAGAGATGTTCTTGATTGAGGTGGATTTACATGATGATCAACCACGGCTTTGTAAGTTTTATTATAAAGTTTCCATACTTCCGCAGTTCTTCAACTGGTCCTATTCGGCAGGCTTTGTACGTTTATGAAAGTTTCCATACTTGCACGGTTCTTCAACTGGTCATATTCAGTGTGCGCCCCAAACGATAGATGAACTGCTTCATCTCCCCAAGGAACCCATAAGATGTCTGTTTCTCAATTTTTGTTTTGTTTTTGATTTTTTCCACCGCATCTGTTACTTTGTTGTATGAATTTATTTATTTTAGTTAGTTATCGAAATGCTGATGAGTAAATAAATTATTGTTTCTAATTCTTTAAGGTATTTTAACATATGCCTGTCTATAGTTCAATCTGGTTCTGCAATGCTTTTATTCAAAATGTGTTTTTGTTGTCCGAGCTAATGTAGTTATATGTGCAGGGAAGTAGCTTACATTTGTACTATAGTTAGTATATTAGCCTGTGTGCACATGAATTTTAGGGAGAGCAATATGAAGAAATTACTCACACTAACACATGACTAGAATTATCACTTAAATTATTAAATGGCAATTGATGTTGAAAAACGGATTCGTGAAATATGAATACGAAGTTAATGAATCTGTGTATGTTGGAAATACAAAACTCCAAGACAAAAGAAAACATACATGCCCTTAAAAAACAAGTAGGGTCAATAGAGTTATATACTTCCATGAATCTGGTGGTGATAGGTGCACAAAATTCATTATTTTATGCATTCAAGTAAATACTTTATAATATTTAAGTATTATAATATATATGTTTTATGTTTACAGATATAAATTAAAGAATGAGAAGAAAAGAAGCAAAAATAGCCTACTATGATAATTTATGGCAGGATGAGGATTATTTATAGCTAAAGAAGAGCACTAGAAACATTGTAGGAGGGATGGTCAATTGTATAATCTCCTTCACAAGAGGTCTCAAGTTCAAGCTCCATCAAAACATTCTTTTGCCCTCCTAATTCCTCCATTCTAAACTCTATAACCAGGGACATATGCAAGGAGGTTGGGGGATGTAAAAATAGAATTACGCGGGTGAGGACACTGTTAGTTGATTTCAATTGTGATTAACTCCTTTAATGACCTATATCTGATTATTAGGTCAACTTGTTCAATTTATGATTGATTAAATTGTATGATCAATTAAACATTCACAATCATAAATATAAATACTTAAAAGTAAAGCAAGTTAAGTTTAGAGAGATTGCACCGGAATTTTTAGCGAGGAAAGCTCAGTTGATAAAATACGTCAACTATTGCACGGGAAAAACCTTGTGGACTATTCAGTCAAAAGTAAACCGATTCACTATGTTTGAAACAAAGTACACTGAACTTTGACTCTGGCTCAAACCCTATCGTTCTACCAAACACCAATTGCTGACAATCCTCTGGCTTTGCGACTCCCCGTCCAACAGCAACTTTACCTCAGGCTTATGCTTGATCTTTGTAGAAGAGTAGCATATAGATCAGACAACACTCCTTGAATGCTCCAACCCTTTCAAAGTGTGATCGCTTTTACTTCTGTTCTTCAAGATCTGAACTCGATGTAGAAGAATTAAATCCTGCTCTTCATTCGGAATAGCAGGATTTAATTCATACAACAACGTAACAGATGCAGTGGAAAATATGAAAAATGCTGTCCTAATCCCTCAGAAAATATGAAAATTTTCGTGCATAGGACTTGGAAAGAAGTTGGGATAAAAAAGGAATTAAACAGCAAAAATGAAACTAAAATCCAAGTGCTGCCAGGAGACCTTGAACCGGTTCAGAGGGGCTGAACCGGTTCAAGAAGACCAGTAAAGAATCCCTCGGATTCTTGAGCCGGTTCAAGATGGCCAGCCTTGAAACTTAAGCAATTTTGCTGATGTTGAACTTGTTCGATAAATCTTGAACCAGTTCAAGATGGACAGAATGTAAAATCTTGTTTAAATCCTAAATGTTCTCACTACCTCTCAAACTTCTTAGAGCAGCGTTCTCATCATCTCGGAGTGTAGTATATCATGAGCACTTGAACTTTTTTAAATCCGCATCTGATCTTCAATCTTCAAATTTTGAAACGAAAAATTACAACTCGATCGGACTTGTTTTGACAACGAAATTAGCCAATTATAAATATATATTTCACAATCTCCCCCTTTGGCAATTTCGTGACAAAACCCTAAAAACAATTCAGTAATCCACCCAAGCAGGAAAGTAAATTACAATGATTGTTAAAGGAAATAAATCGCGGAATTTTTCTTGCACCTCATGAAGCTTCAACACATGTAGCAACCTGTAATCTCCACATTAGGTCAAACACAACTACCCGTGAAGCTTAATCAAGAAAATAAACACAAGCAATAACAAATTTGAATGCCTGAATATCAATGCAATGTAAACACATGCAATGATCAATGGTTCTCCCCCTCAATGCAAAAAATTCTCCCCCTTAATGCAAAAGTGTCTCTCCCCCTGAATGATAAGACTCTAAACTCTCCCCCCCTTTTTGTCACAAATTAGCAAGGGTCGCAAGGAAGAAATATTCTAAAAGCAGGAAGCAACTAACTATATGAATCTTGTAAATTGAAACCAATGAGAATGTAGACTCCACAAGATTATATGTTTCAACACAAATAACCAAGATCAATTCTTCGAAGTTCCACAAACTTAGTAAGTGTAGTAAAATCACCACCAAGTTTAAAAAACATATGATCTGTCAATTGTTCAGATTTCAAATAATAAATCAATGATATCACATATCCTTGGAAATCAAACAATCAACATGCGCAAAAGACTTTTTTTTTTTTGTCTCTCTCTCTCTCTCTTTGTGCTCCATTTTTCTTTTTGCACATTGACAACTCTCACGCTTATGGGCAGCCAGCTTTTTCCACTATTCTCGTTTGTTTCGAGTCAAGGTAGCTTTCGGACAAATCCAAAAGGTAGCCTTTTCCATCTCACCTTTTTTAAAACAGCAAATATTTTTTCTTTTTTTTTTCAAAAACTTTTTATTCCAAGCTATTTTTCAAATATTTTTTTTTTTTTTTTTTTTTTTTTTTTTTTTTTGTTCATTTCACTCTTTTGGTCTAAAACACATAAATCAAGTTTAAGTTCCAACACAATGATGAATCATATCAACATTATCTTTGACCAAAATAATGATATCTCAAGTAAATGTACTATAAATGATTCGTTTACTATACAAAATAAGTAAGCAAAACCAATTTCATCAATTCATAGCCATTGTATGTTTTCCAATAATATTCCATGTGTCATTAAACTCCTTGTGTTCAACATACTCAATCAATATGGTTTGCTTCAATTCCCAAAAACATAATCTAGACACTCAAGATATGCATGAAAATTCTTTCTAGACTATGTCTTTGCAATGCATCTAATCAAGACAATAGACAACAATAGATTTCCTAAAATGAGAAAACTTAGGAGAATCTAATGGTTTAGTGAGAATATCAGCCAAATTCTGATCAGTATGAACTTTTTCCAAAGAGACGACATTTTGTTCAACAAGTTCCCTAAGAAAGTGATGTCGAATGTCAATGTGCTTAGTCCTAGAATGCAAAATTGGATTTTTTGAAATATTAATTGTACTAGTATTATAACAAAAGATAGCAATAGTACCTTAATCAATTCCATAATCCAGAAGCATTTGTTTCATCCAAAGCAATTGTGTGCAACAATTTCCAGCAGCAATGTATTCAGCTTTACAAGATGATAAAGATATGCAATTTTTCTTCTTACTGTACTATGAAACAAGGTTAGTACCAACATAGAAACAACCATCTGAAGTACTCTTTCTATCATCCTTATTACCAGCCCAATCAACATCAGCATAGCCTGCAATCTCAGAGTTAGACTTAGAAGAATAACGCAATCCATAATTCAATGTACTATTGACATAACGAATAATGCGCTTGACTGCAAGAATGTGTTATTTGATAAGCGCCGAATATTGTATATTCAAGCGCCCTAAATTGCATTAGTTAAGTCCATCGTTTGATTATTTAAGTAGATTATCTTCATTTGTGTGTATGTATATATTTTCAGGTCCATTTGCCAAAAAAGGAGCAAAATCAAGGCTTTGTGGAGTTTTGGCCATCAAAAGGCACAAGGCTGAATTTCTGTCAGCAGTGGATCCTGAACTTTGCTCGCCATTTTGACCTTGAAAACTTGAGAACTGGACTTCCATCATAACATGACATATTTAGAGCTCTGAATCAGCTTTCCAAATCTTCAAGTGGTTCGTCATTCGGAGTTCGGAGCAGAGAGTTATGATCTTCTTATCATAGGTGCTCAGAACTGCCTGGCAGCAATGAATTTCTGCCTTGCTCTTCAATTTCGACCAACCAGACTTGAGAATTGGATCTCCACCAAAACATAAAGTTTTTAGAGCTCTGAATTACCTTTCCAAATCTTCAAATGGTTCATCATTCGGAGTTCGGAGCGTAAAGTTATGGCTGTTTTACTAAAGTAGGTCCGGGCGAATCAAAGCAAGCATGGAGCAATCTGCTCCATTTTAGAGTGCTCGAGGCCTTGCTTAGAGTGCTCGAATTTGGGGCAGAATTGCCTTCGGGAATTCTCATTTTGGCAGCCACTTGTGCATTGGTTTCCTCATTTTCTGCTTACTTCTTTATGAGGTGGTTGGGGATGTTTTTGGAGGAGAGAGAGAGCTTTGTTGAAGGAGATAAGGCAAGGAAGGCCACACATATCAAGGACATTGTTTTTGCAAGATAGAGAAAAGGGAAGAGAGCAAGAAAAGAAGGGGTTCTTCAAGCTCCAAGAAGGTTGCACGAAAATGGCCATGAAGATGGAGCTTCTTCTTTCTTCTAGCTTGGCAATGGGTAACTAACTCCCTATCTAGGGAGGTGATGAAGCCCTACTTTGTAAGCATGTCTTAGTTTTGGTTTAATCTTGGGAAATATGTATATATATGGCACTTCCATAGTCTAGAGCTTGTATTTGATGTAATGAACATAAACTCTTATAAATGATCATGTTGAATATATTATCTTCTCTTAGAGTGTATGTTCTCATGGTTGTATTGCTTTCATTTCCATAGTGACAATGGAAACAAGATTGTGAAAGTATTTTTATTGGCATGTATTTGAGAATCTTGTTAATCCATAGCTTAGGGTCCCCCTTTGATGGATTTATTCTTGATTCTTAGCTCCATGTGCTATCACCATAGTTATTGAGGGTTTGATAGTCCTTAGCTTAGTGAATATATGAAGCTACAATTTCATTTAGGTAGTCAAGCATGTATAACTTTGAGGGATTATGCTTAAATCTTGATTCTATGAAATTCTTGGAGATAGTGTAGT